CTGTTCTTGTCATTTTATCTTCTTGGAAGCAGCAGATTATAGTGAGAAAAATGCTTCATGGGAAGATGGGAATCAGGAAACGGGTTCTGTTCCTGGCTGTGGTGGTAACTCATCACTTGGTCTTGGTTTCCCCACTGTCAGCGAAAGGATTTGATGATGGAATCTGCGAGACTATGCTCAGCTCTAAAATTTCTCTTTTTAATTTTTTCCTTTCCCCTTTAAAGATATTTGAAAAACAAAAAAACTCCAAATCAGAAAACCCATCATACTCGTTGCTGTTGAGTTGATGCTGGCTCCTGGAGACCCTGTGTGTCAGGAGAACCACGCCCCGTAGGGTTTTCAGTGGCTGTAATCTTACAGAGGTACAGTAATTGTCACTTACAGTACCAATCCGTGGTGTCACTGATTCCAACCACCAGCCTTTCGGTTAGTAGCCAAGCTCAAGTTCTTCGTGCCACTTGGGCACATTAAAGATACTTCGGTCCAGGTTAAAGCTGTGAAGAAGCCTGGCTTGCGCTTAGGTGGCAGGGTTGGTGTTAGCTGCTTTTGAGTTGGCCTCAGCTCATGGCGACCCCATGCACAATGGATTGCGCCGTTGTTGTCCCTGGGGTTTTCATTAACTCATTTTTTGGAAGTACCGTTGCTTGATTGAGTTCTTCTTATGTGCTATGCATTGCCTAAGGAATGTTACAATATCTGATTTAATCTCACAATAGCTCTGGTAGACACTGTTATTTCTGTTTGGCAGATGAGGAAATTGAGGCTTAGAGATGTGTGAAGCCACTTGTTACAGGCTCAGTGACTAGCACAGAATGGGGCAGGTTAGCACTCTGGTCGTCGGGATGATCTTACTGGCTTAGCCTTGGGCGTGAGAATGCTCTGTAGAGGAGGAGGACTCCCAGAGTAGACTCTGCTCTCCCAGGCCCACATCTTTACGGCTAGGCGACAGGAAAGTGGACACTAGGCACTGGTGTGTGCCTGGTATTGTGCTGGAGACATTCCGTATGTGATCTTTGTCAATCCTCAGAAAAGTCATGAGGTATGTGCTGTTACTACCATTTGGCAGGTGAAAAACCTAGAGCTCAGAGAAGGTAAGGCTCTCTGTTGAGGTCTCACAGTCAGTAGTTGGTGGCAGCAGGTTTTAGACCTAGGTCATGGGTTCTCAAAGACTTCACTTTTCCCAATCCACACATTCACTTGCTGAAGGTGGGCCAGGCTGCCCTGCTAGAACCTGCTCTAAGCCAAGAGGTGGCCATCTTGGATATGAGAAATCCCTGTACAAATTCCAGGGGTCTCAAAAATTTATATGATGATGGAGAACTAGGTGCTTGGATCTCACACTCTAGGACTCAGTTGTTCCCTGCTTCTGGAACCTTCTCTTAATCCATCCTGCCATGGCAGCCACCTCTTACTCCCTTAGCACTTGTGATTGTTTGAAGACTGAACTGGTGGACTTGTGTGTGTCTCTGTGTATGGTGGCGTACGTGTGTACGTGTAACTACCAGAGTCTTTCCCCTCATGTGGGTCTCCAGAAGACCTCTGAAGAGAAGAAACGCTCAGCAAATTGATGCCAACTCGCCTTCTTAGAGGGACACTGGGCTCCTGTTTTCTGCTGAGCATCACAGAGATCCTTCTCTGGAAGTGGAGCTCTCTGGAAGCCACTGGGAGCCAAGATGTGATAATTCTCAACAAAGAGGACTTTTTGGCTCAGATGTTACAGTCTCCTGGGTGAATCCAGGCTGCTGGTCTCTGTGGAAGCTAGTTATTTTTTCAGCTAAAATGGAATAAATTTCTGTTACATGCCTAGTACGTGGTAAGTGTTCAGCAGACATGTTCATTAAATTAATTAATGACAAATTCAGTGCTCAATTTTAATTGCAAGGGACAGAAGTCAATTCTGGCTGAATGAATTTTAAAAAAATGTATTAGAAAGACACTGTTTAACCCATTGAAAGACTCTTGAGGAAAATCTGTAGGCCCTGCTCTCAGCCAAAGGGCGCTCAGGAAGGATAGGAACTAAGCAGCTCTGGGAATCTTACGGACATCTCTTGGATGCTGCTATTGGTTGACTTGGCCCCATTCACTGCAGACTCTTTTCACTGCTCACATTCCTTAGGGAGCTTGGTCATGATGATAGCTTACCCAGTATCGTGTGGGGAGAGTGAAGGCGGCTCCCCACAAGGAAGGTATTTTGGGCAGACACTCAAAGGATCTACTGTAATTGGTATGTAAAGCAATCCTTATGCTCCAGGAGTTTATAGTCAACTGGGAAAGACAGATAAGTAAAGGAATAATTAATAGTAGGCTATGATGGTGGCACCAAAGGATTTATACAAAGTGTGGTGGGAGTTTAGGGAGGTTTTTTAAAGGGGGGCGTGTGTCAGGGAAGGTACACAGGAAGATTGTTCAAGGTGGGGTTTAAAGGCTGAGTAAAATCTGCCAGCTAGTAAAGGCATTCCAGGATGGCTCACCCAAATGAAAGAATGGTGTGTTCTGGAAACTCAAGGAGTTCCAAGTGCCAGGTCTAGAGAGTTCAACAGAGAGGGAGAAGTGTGGGTGGGGCCAAATCTTAAAGGGGCCTGCATGCTCCGTTAGGCTTGAGGACTTTCCGTCCCAGGAGGTGACCTGTCTCTGAATTAAGTGCCAGAGGAGCATGCTCATTTCTGAGTTTTAGGAGGATTACTGTGGAGACTGTAACAAATACATCCCCCAACCCCAAACCTGTTGAGTCACTTCTAACTCCTGGTGTATCACACTGCTCCGTAGAGTTTTCAGTGGCTGTCTTCTTACGGCAGTGGGCCACCAGGCCATTCCTCAGCAGCACCGCTGGCTAGATGTGAACCGCTAACTTTGGGTAGCAGGCGGGTGCTGACCATATATGTCCCCAGGGACTTGGAGGCTGCGGCATTGTCCTCCAATTGAACTCCGTGACTGGCTGCCAACCTTGGGATGCTCATGGGTCCAGACAAGCCAGAGGATGAGACGCTGAGCAAGTCCGTCAAAAGACACTCCCGAGGGGTCTGGAGGGCCCCACTCTCCTTGAGAATTTACAGCCACTCCACCTTCTGCTGTGGCTCAGGGGGATTTTAGGGAGCGAAAGAAAGAGGCCACTGGTGGCTTTCATTGACTCCGGAGTTCTGAGTGCTTGAGTGATGTGTCTTGGGCTTAGAAAGCCCTGTATGTCGTGAAGAAGCAGATGTAGGAGCTTTACCCATCGCCCCACCTCCAACAACCAGCTCTCCTGTGTGCTCAGAGATCAGCAGTGTGCAGTGCAGCAGTAGCCTGGGGAGGGAATGTTCTGGAAGAACGTAGAAACAGCTCAGGCCATGGATGCTGGGTGGGCATGGAAGCACTTCCTTTAGTGTCTAAAGGGCCTTTCTCTAGACACTTCCTTTCCATTTTGTGATTTTGCAGAGGAAATTGAGTGAGATTGTAAACTCCGAGGTCCCAAGAGGTTGCCAGGGGGCTGGGGGGTGGGGAGAGCCTCCCTTTCCTCATAAACAGGAGTTCTCTGACAGTGAGCAACACAGGCCCGTTTCCCTCGCAAGAGGAAACAGGAAACTCTTTCCTGAAAACAGGAAGTTGTTGCTTCTGTGGTGAGGATTTGGAGCTGGTGCTTTGGAGGGATTGTGGCTCAAAGCTGTTCTAATACAGCCCTAGTGAGCCGGGTCACACATTTTCTGAACAGTGTGAAGAAGGGATTAGAAAGATGGGGCCTAGAGCTTCCTGCCTCAACATCTTAGCCGTGTGACTTCAGCCAGATTATTCACTCCTTTAAGTTTTAGGTTCTTCAACTGGAGTGACTTACCCAGTGAAACCTGTGAGAGTGGGAACCTGACGGGACTGCCTTGTTTTTCTGGATCTCTCGTGTTTTCCGCCTTTGACGGTGCAGTCTTACCACTTGTTTTCTCTCCTTTTAGTGGAAAACACTTGAGTTTTCCTTACACAGGTTCCGGCTTCACAGATAACAACAAAACCTGGCATTTACTGAGTGTTTACAGTGTGCCAGGCACTGTGTTTTATATCCATTACCTCAATTATTCCTTGAACAACCCTATTGTATTGCAGTGAATTACTTGGTATGGCTTTTCTAGCCATAGTCTTTGTAACTCCCAGTGGGTTACTGGGTGGGACCATGCAAGTAAGGAGTGTAGAACTCTGGTGGGATTGGTTAGTTTGGTCACTCGCCTGACTAGAGGCAGAAAGGGGGATCTCGTTGCCTTCATGAGAGAAGAGCTGGAGGTGCGGTAGACTGTGTCCGTGGACCTGAGATCTCCTTGAACCTCATGGGCAGAGACGCCCAGCGGAGGAAGATGGCCGGCAGAGAGATGGCAGCAGTAGAACCAAGAGGCAGGAGACAGAGCAGCAGGAGGCGTGGGCAGAGCCGAAAGAGCTTTGTGACATAAACCCCATAGTCATGAGCATCGTCTGTGAGTTCTGTGTGGTCATTGCAACGAAGTATCAAACCCACTGAAAGTAGTGCCTTGGCCGGGGTGGTTGGTGTCAGAATTGGTAAAAAGGTGTGGAGGGTGGCGGCACATTTGGCCTCCAAGGAGTAAGTGTTGGGCCGCTGATGGTGATTCAGTGTCACCCTCGTGAGGTTAGAGGGGGTCAGAAAATGCTGTCCCCGTGTCCTTTTTGCATTTATGAAGTAGGTAGTGTTGTCATTGGCATTTTACAGATGAGGAAACCAAGACACAGGTAAGTTAGTAACTTGCCCTGTCCCTCCCCCTAAAAATTAGTAAGTGGGGGAGCTAGGATTTAAATTAAGACAGGGTGGCAGCAGAGTTTGATGCCTCACAGAGTTGTTAATGAGTTTTAAAGGAGATTGTGTCTGTAAAATGCTTAACATAGCTCCTGGCACTTAGAAATGTTCACTACTTACTGTGACCATTATCGATAGAAAGTTTTTATTCTCACCTTGCTCCTTTCTGGCTCTTTACAGAAGCAGCTGACACAGGATGACGATGCTGATGAGGTCGAGATTGCTATTGACAACACGGCTTTCATGGATGAGTTCTTTTCAGAGGTAGGTGACCTTCCTGTGGACAACCCCCCCCCCCCGACAGGTCCATAAGGAAACATGTGCTTCCTTAGTAAAGAATTAAAAACCCAGCTCTTTCAAGGATGACAGAGGAAAGTCGGTCTTCAGCTGGGATGCGGTGCTACACCAAGGAGTTACAAGGAGATGCTTGAGTCCTTACTCGAGTGCGTTTGGAATTTTAATCTCATTGAGAAGGCAAAAAAACTCACTGCCATCGAGTTGATTTGTTGAGTTGATTTGACTCATAGCAACCTCTCCTTGGGTTTCCGAGGCAGTATCACTACGGAAGTAATTGCCCAACCTTCCTTCTGAGGAGTGGCTGGTGGGTTTGAATCTCCATCCTTCTAGTTAGCAGGCAAAAGCCTTAGGCACTACGCCACCAGCGTTGAGAGTAAATTATATGTAATGAAAGAAGTGCTGTTAAAGTCCTATGCTACATGACGATATTTTAATAAATATCCTTTCTTCCCTAAAGTGCATAATTGAATTTACAGAACCAACCACGTTTCACAGCCACGAATGTGTATGAAACCCTTATATCTTTAGGCCTGTGATTGACATAGGTCTGATTCATAAAAATGTCTGCAGTCCCTTTGACCTAATTCTAGTGGTAACTAAGAAACAAGAAACCCACCAACTTATTTTTGAAAATCCCCTGGAGGTACCAGTGGCTCCGCATGTCTCTAGGTCCATTCCTCTGACTGGAAGGTCTTCGTTGGGCCGGTGCTGCTGCAGATCATGGGTGTGGAAAGCTTGTGAAGGCAGTCATGTGTCATGGCAGCAGCGTGGGCTTTGGAGCCAGATCAGCTTGGGTTCACGTCTCAGGCCTGCTTCCTGCTAGCAGTTAATTTTGTGTATGTTTTTTAACCTACTGAGCCTTGGTTTCCTGATCTGAAATTGGGATTGATAATCATCCCACTGTAAGGTTATTATGGGAGTCCTTGGGTGGTGCAAACAGTTAAGTGCTTGACTAGCAGGCAAAAGGTTGGTGGTTCAAACCCACCCAGAGGCGCTTTGGAAGACAGGCCTGGAGATCTGCTTCGGAAACCCTGTGGAGCATTTCTATTCTGACACACATGGCGTCTCCATGGGTTGGAATTGACTTGATGGCAGCTAGCAACAACAGCAGGGTTATGAGGAGGTTTAAATGGGGTAATGTTTGTGGGACAGTCTGTGTTTTCCATATGTGGCGTATGTGTGCTGCATGAAGGATATCTCCCCACTGTCTTGAAAAACAAAACAAAACTCCAAAACTCACTGTCCCTGAAGTGTCTGTTACCCAACTTTGGTTTCTTTCTTTAGGTTTTTTATTTCTCTGGAAAGAAGACAAAGGGCATCACATTCTTTGTGCAGGGAGAATGTGGTAGCATTCCCCTCTCTAGATTATGGATGTGGGAAAGGAATGCCTTAGTTCTTCTCTGCGTGGAGTGCAGTGGGGCTGGGGAGTTATTGTGTTAGAGTAGTAACTGTTTCTAAGAGCGAACTTGAGCGTGTGCTGACCTGGCTGGGAGTTGGGTGTAAACACCCCACAGATCCCCTCCGCCTCCCATCATGGGTGGGCCCATCCTGTGGTCAGGTGTGGTCAGGGAGTCATAGTGAAATCAAAGGACACTTGGGTTGCATGAGTCTGGTGTCATTCCAGTTGTGGACTATGGAAGGAAAATATCTTTCTCTTCAGTGGGGTTAGCCTTGAGGGTATGGATTCAGGGAGATATTTGAGGTCATTTTAGCTTTGATACATTAAAGAACTTTATGGATAGTTATGAATTGATCCTTCCCCCATAACTATGTTCTTCCACTGCTCTTAAATGAGTAAGAGGGTCCCTGAGAAGTAGTTTTCTTTGTGAGGAGAGAAGAAGGTGGGCTTTGGACTCCAAGAAATAGGTTTGAGCCCAGTTGACTAGCAAGCCACTTCACTTGTCTTGAGTAGCGCAGATGGTTAAGGATTTGGCTACTATCTCAGAGGTTGGTAGTTCAAACCCAGAGATGCCTCAGGAGATAGGCCTTGCCGTCTGCTACTGAAAGGTCACAGCCGTGAAAACCCTATAGAGCATAGTCCTGCTATGCACGTGGGTCTCCATGAGCTGGGATTGCTTGAAGGCGATGGTTGGGTTTCACTGTTTGACCTTTACTGTCCTCCTGTGGAAATCAGGGATGTTAGTGTTTGCTATTCAAGACTACATGGAAGGACTTAATGAGAGCCCATCTGTGCAAGCGTTGTCTGAACAGAAGAACGCGGGAGGGGGATAGTGAGTTTTGAAGAGGACTCTTGAGGCCTTCACAGGACCTCTGGGGTTGCTCCCTTTCTTACTGTTCTTTCTGATAAGTGTCTCACTGTCATATAGGAAATAGAAATGCTCTGTCATATTTGGGGTCACGGAGGAGGCAGTGTGACCAGAGGGAAATGAATTTCCAAATCCGTCACTAACTGTGATCTTGAGCAATTCTGTAACCTCGGTAAGTCTCAGCGCATCCATCTGTGAAATGGGGAGAAGATGATTCACCTCCCAGATTTGTTGAGGACTTAGGCGACAGCCCTCACAAAGTGCTTAGCCTGGGGTTAGGTAAATGCTACTTTGCTTAACTCATCTGAGAGCACAGAGAGGATGAAAATTGGAGGGCAGGGGAGAGGCAGGTAGGAGTA